AATTCCCCAGCCAGCATGCTGGCTGGGGAATTCTGGGAGTTGGAGTCCACACATCTTAAAGCCACCAAGTTTGAGAAACTCTGGCCTAGACAGTTAGATAGAAAGAATCAGAAGTCAGGCCCCATAGGCCAATCACCATATATAGAGAGAGAAAATGTTACTATCCTTAGGAATGTTCAACGGACACGTATCAAACAAGTAAGGAAGTGTTTAGAAGAAAGTAGCAACTGATTCAAACATTTAATGTAATTTATATAATAAATGGTCTAGGGGGCCTGACTTTTGGTATACCCTCTCTGTGTGTTTACATATTATCATTTTACTTGATCGACTGCATTATTTGACTACACTTATTACATTGGAAAAACAGCCTGGGCTGTGGTTGCATTGACCTCCAGTAACACAATGCAAAGCTCCCCAAGTTTGTGGACTCCCCAACCCCTCTCAGGTCTCCTTAGAAGCAGAAGCTCCTATCATCTGAGAAAAAACCCCCCACATATATTTGCACACGTAATTCCCTTGGCTTTGTTTAAACCCATGTTTTATTATTCCCTTGCAAACCGCTCTAACAGCAGCAGGAACAGAAATGACATTACAGATAGCCTGATCGATATTTTCAGCTGCCCGTCATTGCGCTTCCTGCAAAGGCATACAGGATGTCCTGCCTTGGGGATGACAGACGTCAGAAAGAAATGGGAAACCGGACAGCCAATCTATTGAGATGGCTCGGCTGTGCGTTTCCTTAAAAACTCTGATTTCTTTCAGTCTCGCCATTATCTGCATCTGCGGTTTTTTCCTCCCCTTAGAAAAGAGAGATAGCGGCCAGCTTTTGATTTAAAGCAAGATCCTTTCGAGGGAGGCGGGTGCTTCTTCTCGACTTATCTCTTGAAATAGGAAGAAGCATTTCTCTGATTTCTCATCTGGCATCTCAGTCCAAACCCCCTCGCCTCGGGAAGCCCAACTTTTTGAATTCTCTGGCAGAAATCCAGAGAGAGAAACACGTGGGCTGTTGCCGCAGCTTGGGGGCAGTGGAGTACGAAGCCTATCATCCCCAGCCAGCGTGGGAATAGCAGCCCAACTGCACTGGGAATGCTCATGATAGAAAAAGCTGGCTTCGTTGTGCATCCCATTCTGTGCCAAGAGGGAATCATAACCTCAGCAATCATATTGCAACAGTAACCATCATAACAATGATGCAGATACCAGAAATATTATTATTCTCCTTTGCATCGTGCCTCTATACGTGCTATTTGTTCTACTTGCAGTTGAAGATTCTGACTTACTTACTGATGTTTTACGTTATTTTATTCTATTATTATTGCACTTTGATATTCTTATTTCATTCTTAATTCTCGTCTTGTCTATACGACGTTTCGTATGTATCTATGCAACCTTGTCCATTGACACGTATGTATGTTTGCATCCGTCTATTGCACATACTTTTTAGGTTTTATATCGTGGTTTCCCAGCCTTAGGGCTTTCATCAGGTGGCCTCATCTGCCTGACTTGTATTCCTGCTAAAATGTGAACACGCTTCTGGAATCTGCATCCTCAGAACACCCCGAAACCGGGCCCGCCTTGCCCAAACCCGGGCAGCGAAGAGGAAACTGCGCTAAGCAGCAAGAAACGAATCAGCCCCGCGGGGAGTTTCGCTTCTTTGCAGAGCCAGGACGACCCAGCCGCGCAGCCAGGGGGAAGACCAGCTGCCCCGCTCCGGCCAGAAATAAACACCCGGGCGTGCAAAGGGAGCCAAGCGCACGCACGCAACGGCACGCCGTCCCCGCCAAAGCGTGCTTGAGCATTGCAACATCGTTCCACGTGATAAAAACCCATGACTCGACCAGGGCTTTGGGCGTTCTCTTTGCCCGGCCGTCTTGGAAAAAAGTCCGAGGGAATAAAAGCGGAGGGGAAGGCGCTGCGGGCTGGAATAAAGTAGCCTCCGGCTCCGACGGGCTCCGAATTGCTCCGGGCCCCCCCACAGCACGCGCTGACTTTGAGTTTATTTTTGCAGCGAACCACGTGAAAGGGGAACCGGGAAGAGCCTCCTTCTCTCTCCGGGCGCGAGCGACGGCGCGGGCGGCCAATCAGCGGGCGCGGCCCGGGCCGAAAGAGGCGGGCTCAGAACCACCTGGGCATTCCAGCGCGGCGGCGAAGTTGCGGCCGGCAGAGACGGCGGAGGGAGGAGGAGAAGGGTTTGAGAACGGCGGCCCGCGCCCGGCTTTTCTAGGG